GCACGGCGGCGCTGCCCCCGGCAAGCAGGGAGCTGCGGAGGAGCGCGCTTCGCACCTCCGGCTTCATCACTTTCTCTGCTGTGCCAAGAGAAAGGAAGGGAGGGAGGGGGGGGAGAGCCGCTGGGAAGGGCTGCGAGGGGAAGTGCCCTGAGCGCCACGCTTGGGAAACTTCTTCATTTTGTTTTATTTTCTTGTTTACACCCTAGTAGAAGTTACAGCCTGGGAAACGGCACCGTGCTAGTCACAGTGAAGAAAAATCGACTCCATAGCTCAGCTATTAAAGCAAAATACTATATGTTGCCTTGTCCCCTGAGCTGCATTGAGACGGCGTCACCCGATATGTGTTTGTCCTGCACAGGACTTTGCGGAGAGGGGGCCGTCCCTCTGCCCCTCACCCCAAGCAGCCCAAAGTCCGTGCACTTGCAGGCTGTGCGTTGCAGCTTCCAGGGTCACAAATAAGCCAACAGACTTTTATTAAATACTCACCGGGTAACACACAGAGAGGACTATGTCCTTCAGAGCCGAGCCCACAAGCTGCTCTATCTGCAGCGACTCAGGCAGCCCCCGTTCCCCAGAGAAATTACGGAAATCTCTTCTGTGTCCCGGGAGACACTGGAAGCCCCAGCAGCACAGCGAGTCCCTCCACTCCTTGCTCCGTCCTCAGGCTTCTTCCTCCACTTTAGAGAGGATTTCTGCTCCCTCGGAGGTAATTACAATGGTATGCTCAAACTGCGCTGATCTGAAATACACATTTAGCAATTATGAGGGGGGCAAAGGCGGCCAGCAACGCCCGCAAAACTCACCCATTTTTCCGGCTGTCAGGGATCAGTCCCGTGGGTTATAAAAAATTAAAAAAGTAAAATCAGGCACCTTTTATTGTCTACAGAAATCGCAGTCCATTTATCCTCCAGAATTTTAAATTCGGGGGATCCTTCCATTATTATTGGCTCTGTAACAAGAAAAAAAATAATGTTTTCTAAACTTAGTCGCGCTCCTGTCCGAACTGGGAAGCAAGAACAAGAAGAAGGGGAGGCCCAGCAGGTAGCTCCCCTTCTGCACAGCCCCCCTCCTCCCTGGGCAACTGTCTTGCAACCTCTAAACGTGAACTAGAAAGGAAAATGAAATATTAAGGTAGGAAGTTGCCCATTTCTTTTTTGTAAAAGCCGGGACTTTTAATCAAGCTTTAATTAAGACCCCGTGGATAATAACCAAAGCACCAACAACACTTCTAAGCAGCAGATAGTTTAAAATATTTGAAAATTTTAAACAGGCTTAAAATGTTCATTAAATCAGCAAAACAACAATTTTCTTATTTCCTTCTAATTGCCGCGCCATTTAGACACACAGTGAGAAAGAGGGCTTTTCCCCCCCATAAGCTCTCCATGATTGGTATTTAGCACGTTCAGTCTTCCAAGGGAGAGACTCTGACTGGTTACCTCGGATGTAATCCACCAAAACCAACAGCAGCTCTGTCAGGAAGTAAATGACATAATAGCCACCAGATAGCTTGGTGCTAAAACATTGCTTTGGGGACGGAATTAGCTTCTTCTGTTTCTGCACAGCCAGTCCAAGCCGTGCTGGCGAAGGCGCTGCCTTACCAAAACACGCGTCGGGTATGTTATTTAGTAAGATGTATTGAAGATATTTCCTTTTAGAAATCTTATCACTTGGCAGCTATCTTACCCAATTATTTCCTTATCGCAATTTAACATAATGTTTTAATCTGCTTCCTAAAGGGCTCGTGTAGCCGACATCCTCATATCTGAATGGAAATTTCTATATTCAAATAAAGAAATTGTATGGATCTGGGTTGCTCTGCGTGTTTTCTTAAAGAAAAACGTACAAGACAGTTACTGACCTATTGTGAACGCCATTCCCTCTTCCATTAACAAATCACTGTCATTGGCTACAAAAGAAAATAAAAACGCTTTTACGGCTGTTGAGACTTTTGTGTGTGTGTAAATATAACCAGCACTTGGTTCTAAAACCCCCTTTTGGCCCGCAGGTACTATGCATGGCAATCCCCGTGAAAAAACACGGAAAAAAAAAGCCATGTAAAGTAATCCCACCCATACCAAAGCGAAACAAACCCGATCACAGCGTCACTTGCCGGGGCAGCAGCTCTGCCGGCCAGCTCACTCCCAAGCCAATTCACAGGAGTTTAACGTTTGATGACGACAGTGATTTTTCTCGGCCCTGCAATAAACTTGGCCAGCGG